AAGGAAAAAACAAAGTTAACGTTTCGGGTCCGGTGATCCTTCCTCAGGACAGAGGAAGGGTCACCGGACCCGAAACGTTAACTTTGTTGTTTCCTTCACAGATGCTGCCAGACCTGCTGGGCTTTTCCAACAACTTTGGTTTTGTTCCTGATTTACAGCATCCGCAGTTCTTTCGATTTTTATAGTTGATCATTCACCTGAGCACCCTGTTCCCATTTTCATAGAATCATAGAATCCCCACAGCGTGGAAGCAGGCCATTCGGCACATCAAGTCCACACCGACCCTCCAAGGACCATCCTACCCAGACCTATCTCTCTACCCTATTCCTCTAACCCTGCATTTCTCATGGCTAATGTAGCCTGCATGTCCCTGGATACTATGGGCTATTTAGCACAGCTAATCCACTTAACCTGCACATCTTTGGACTGACATGGAGAGCATGATCCCTTTAGCCTTTAGAACTATATCTTATTCCTTCCTGAAAACATTCAAAGTTTTGTCTTCAACTGCTTTCTGTGGCAGAGAATTCCAAAGGCTCACCACCCTCTGAGTGAACAAATTTTTCCTCATCACCAGGTAAGGATGGCAGATTTTGCTCTCTCAGGGATTAGGTGAGCTTTTATGGCAATGGTTTATATTCACCATTAGACTAGTTTTTTTTTTAATATCTGATTTTTATTGAATATGAATGCCACCATTTCCCATGGTAGGATACGTACCCATGTCTCCAAAAGATTAGCCGAGGAGTCTTTATTAATGCTGTGATATTACCATGAGTCCACCATTGTTTGATGCTGAATCGTTGATGATCTTCTCACTATTCCTAACAAATGAATTGGTTGTTATTGATGCATAGATAGTAACATAAATACTCATAACTATTAATGAGAAATCTCAATCTTTAAAAGAGAACAGAAACAATTTGCACTTATATACTAGTTTTTGTGATTGCAGAATGTTCTAAAGCACTTTGAGCTAATGAAGTGCTTTTTGAAGTGTTGTCCAGTTACGATGTAGGAAAGGCAGCAAACCGTTTTGTACACAGCAGGTTCTCATAAACAACGATGAAGTAATATCCAGATTGCATGATTTAGTGAAGTTGGGATTGAATGGTAAATATTGCCCTGAGCATCAGATAACTGCTCTGTTTTTCTTCAAGTTGGCTTCATGGGATTTTTTCATGATCACCTGAGAGAGCATGCTAGAACCTTAGACTAATGTGTCATCCTCAAGTCAGCACCTCCGACAATGTGGCACTCCTCCAGTTTTGCACTGCACCGAACTGTTCAGCCTGGATTTGCATTCTCAGGTGTTTGAGTGATACTTGAACCCACAGCCACTTACTGACAGGCAAGAGTGCTATCCTTGATTAGTAAGGGAATCAGAGGTTACGGGGAGAAGGCAGGAGAATGGGGTTGAGAAACATAGCAACCATGGCCAAATGGTGGAGTAGACTTGATAGGCCAAATGGTTTTATGATACTCCTAGATCTTATGGTCTTATCCACAAAGCTATTGGGAGGTGGATATTTTGACGTAGTTTAGTTGAAAAGTATCATCAAACCATCATGCAGCATTGATTTATCAATGGCAATAAGACCAGAAAATTCAGCTCTGGCAGTGTCTGTGGAGGGGAAACAGAGTTAACAGTTAGGATTTTACCAAAGGCTTCAGGATCCTGAAATTCCAACAAAATGGGAGTCTCAAGTCCATACATGCCATCAGTGGGTTTGAGCCAACGGTTTTCACAGAGAACTTTCTGTTACATTCCTCTTAACATCTTACAATTTGACAACTTACACTTCTATATCCATTCCATACTCCCAGTCACATATCCTGGCTATCACTAAGATCGCCCACTTCCAACTTATTAGCAATACCTGACTCCACCTCAGCTTCAGCTAGTGTACTATTGAAATTATCCTCTATGTTTTTGTCACCTCAACTGTTGACTATTCCATTTCACTGCTGACCAGCCTCCCATTTTCCATACATTTAGAGCCATCTAACATTCTGTTGCCTGAGTGTTAACTTTTTCCAAATAACATTCATCTATCACTCCTGTACTCACTGATTGGCATTCAAATCTGGCTAAATAATGCTTGAATTTTAAAACTCTTGAACTTGTTTCCAAATCATTCCATGGCCTCACCCCTCCATATATGTGCAATCTCTTCCAACTCTACACCCCTCCAGCATATGCACTCCTGTAATTCTGGCCACTTAAAAATCTCCAAATTTAATAGGAACACCATTGGTCACCGTGCCTTCAGCTGTTTATGTCCGAGTCATTATTATTCCCAGTATACTGGATATTTCCTTATTTAATCTTTTCAATATCCTTCATAACCCTTTTATAATTCCGAATGCATCATTTTCTGATTCAGATGGAGCTTCAGTAACGAGTGACAGTTCTGTCAGATTATGGAAAGATTTTTACTTTGAAACATCTCAAAAACTCTACTTGATGTAGTTATCGTTCTACTTTAATTTGAATTAAGGCAGAACAGCGTTCTTCTTTTCTTTCACCAACTTCATGTCTCCCTCCTGAAATGTTTACCTAAAGAGGAGAGATACAAACGAAAGTTTCATTGGATTTTGACTGAAATCTATTCTGTCACTCACAGGTGAAAGCTGGGAATTACGCCTTTGTTTGGGATGTGGCAGTGTTGGAATATATTGCCCTAAATAGCCCCGACTGCTCTCTGTTCACTGTTGGTAATACCCTGCCAGATCGAGGATATGGTATTGCTCTACAACACGGCAGCCCATACAGGGACATTTTCTCCCAAAGGTAAGATCCCACAGACTGAGCGTGGTTTATCATGTGTGTTTAATCAGGTGCCAAGCATATCAAGTAAACATAATCTTTCAGGAGAATTCCAGCAGTGAAAGAATGCATTTTCTCAAGGATAAATGCACACCTTCTTGTAGTTGTACCACATGTAACATCTGTTTTGCTTCAATGTGTTTGAGAAACGGCAGATACACTGATAAAAATTTTAAATCTCGTCATCATTCCTTTACCAAAATTTATATTTTTAACATGTCTTTCAAATATTTTGGGCTTCATTTTGTCTTTTGAACTAACACTGTTTAGTATATAACTGAGGACAGTTTTGGTGCTGGTTGAGGAATGGAAAGATGAATGGAGGATTCAAACAGAGATCACATTCATGGACATCTAGCATAATTTCATGAAACAGGATTTTATTTTCAAATGTATCGTGGAGGTAAATATTTTATGTATTTACAATATGTACCCTTCATTTTTTGAAAAAAACAATTGTGGAGGACTGATCTATCCCTCTAAAGGTCAAATCTTTCATCTCCTGTAGAAATGTACTTCCTTTCACAGACCTTGTTTTTCTCATTATAAGCCCTTTGATATCATCTCCCCTATAAAGCAATCTCCCTTATAAAAGGTTTGCCATTTATTCAGCATCTTCCACAATCTCAAGACTCAAAAGAACTTTACAGCCAATTAAGTATTTTTGAAGTGAAATTGCTACTTTGTGATCAGTAAACATGGCATCCATTTTTTGCACAGCAAGCTCCCACAAACAGCACTGTGATAATGACCAGATAATCTGCGACTTATGTTGGTTTATGCAGAAACATTGATTAGGACAGTAGGGATAAAATGCTCTTCTTTGAAATAGTGCCATGGGATCATTATATCTGACTGAGAGCATTGATATGATGCCAGTTTGATGTTTCATCTGTGCAATGTTTAATGGTTTGCTTTCATACATACTTCGATTATGCCAGTCTGATCACTGATCTTCCCACATTGCTTGTTTGCGTAACTTTGTAGGAACAACTAGTGAGTCATGTAGCTGACTGCACACTGAGAGTTCTGAAAGACCTGGGAATCCTGCGAAGACACATTTATGTGAAACTTCTGTAGAGTTCTCAGATGTTTTGAAGTTCTATAAACATTTGGTTTGGATTCAGAGTCATCTCCGTATTACTTTGAAATGAGTCAGATAAATAAGACATACAGCAACCCACCCAAACAAGACACATGATGGCCAGCAGGTACAACAGTCTGAAAACTGGATGATCTTGTGCTGTATGCCTTTAAAGGTGTCACAATTTACCACTTTGTGTCCAACTTCACATCCATTAAACAAAGCCCTTAAAGTCAACTTGATGTTATAATCCATGAACGCCAGCAAAATCCATAGCAATAGACAAGCAAAACAAAGCCCATTCACAACAGCAATCATCTTGTCGCCAAGTATCATGATGAATGATGTTGGAGGTGAAGGGTTTATTGCATTGCTCTGTCCTGTAAATTTAGAACTGCTGGAGAAAATATCCCTTTACTGATCTCCACAAGTATCAGAGCATCATTATTTACCTTGCAACAATGGCACCTTTGGGACCCTGATCTAAGATTAAACTGGGTTGACGAACATACTTCATTTTTGTTCTAACTTTTGTCGGAAGCCTATATGAAGCCGGCTTGGACTATTCCCAAGTCCAATTCCCAACTTCACTTGATTATCCAAATATCCCTGTACAAATCTCTGAACAGTAACATTGAATTGGTGTTCCAGAAGACATCAGTTGATTATTTAAATAGAAACAATATTCAGAGTTATGGAGAAAAAGGAGGAGAAATGTGCTAAGTCATAATGCTCTTTCACAGAGCTGGTGTACATGATGGGCCAAACAGCCTCTATCTGCACGGTAACAGTCCCGTGATGTTACGAGAATCCTCATCCAGGAAGACATGAGATTGGTTCATGTACAAAAAACGAAGCTATGTTCCTTCAAAGATGGATCTTGTATGTAATGCTGGAACATTAAAGAGACACAGAATTTGGTATCCAGTTCATAGTGTCATAGAATCCCTACAGTGTAGAAGCAGTCCATTCAGTCTATCAAATCAGCAGTAATCCTCCGAAGAGCTTCTCACTCAGACCCACCCCTCTAGCCTAACCCAGCTAATCTACACATCCTTGGACACTGTGTCAATTTAGCATGACCAATCCACCAAACCTGGACATCTTTGGCCTGGACGGTTATGCTACGTATCAATTGATAGAAATCTTACCTCTGTATCAATGCTTTGTAGGAAATAAGGACAAAATCTAGAATGACACTCAATTGAGATGCTGCATGTTGGATGCACTGTATTTAAAATGAAGTGTTAAATTGTTGTCCCATTCACATTCTTGAGTGGATGTAAAAGACCAGAAGACATAGAAGCTGAAATAAGTCATTCAGAAATATCCCAAAACATTGTTTGGATTTTCATTGGTATTCAGATCAGTATTTATCCCTCAACCAATATCACAGTAACAGGCTACCTAGTCCTTTAGCTCATTGTTGTTTATGGGAGCTTGCTGTGCACATATTTCCTGCTAACATTTCCTATATTACAAAACTCACTGCTCTATAGAATTTTCATTGTTGCAAAGCATTTTGAGACCTCCTGAAGTGGGAAAGGTTCTTCCATTTTGCCTCATTTTTTTAGTTTTTTGCTGATACAGGGTACAAGAGGATTGTAATATATTGCTGGATAAGAGCAAAGGAACTTCTAACCAAAAAACAGAAAGTGCAGGGCAAACTCAGCAGGTTTGGTAGGATCTATGGAGAGAGAAATAGAGTTCATGTTTCATGTAAAATGTGATTTAATGTTGTTTCTGTCTCCACAGATGCTGCTTTTCTCTAACATTTTTTTGTTGGCTTTTCTTGAGATCTCCAGCATCCTCAGTATTTTGCTTTTACTTCCAACTAAAGTAAGATTGTTTCAAGATGCTGCAACAGATCATTTTCCTGAGTTTAAATGTCAAAGTGGCACACAAATACATTCAAAGAGCAAAAACAGCTTGCAACAAAGTAGATAGATTCAGAAAAATGTGCCGTAATATGGGGAGAAAGGATTCATAATCTGTGCCATTCCCATCCTTTACAAGATTGCGATAAAATTTATGAAAATTGAAACCATCTGCCTACTTACAAAAACACTCAGAACCTAACGTAATGTCGTTGCTGCATCGAAAACAAATTATATAATTAGTTTAAACATACCCGCGGGGTGCTATTGATAAGCCACAGTGTTTGTATTTAGTTACAGGTTGATGCTTCAGTGTCTGTCTGCAGTAGACTGCATAATTGCCCTTCAGAATGAGCTGGATTCAATCAGTAAATACCTGCTCCAGCATAAAATGAACCTCTGTGTCATTATTTGGTTCTTGATAACTGTTGCAGTTCAGAAAAGGTCACTTATCCTCTTTGGAGAGAAATCAGAGTCAATGTTTCGGGACCAGTGACCCTTCCTCAACACGAATTCTAAGGAAGGGTCACTAGACCCGAAACATAAACTCTGATTTCTCTGCACAGATGCTGCCAGACCTGCTGAAGTTTTCCAGCAATTTCTGTTTTTGTTTCTGCTTTCCAGCGTCTGCAGTTCTTTCGGTTTTTATTAATCTTCTTTTCTCAGCATGAAGTTTGTCCTCTGTAATCAATTTTATGCAGAATTGTGAACTGAGCCAAACTGCTTAATTCTGTGGGACAGGTACTGAATCTTTATGAGGTGTATGTTCATCTTAAGTGGTCCTGGCACAGATCTTTCATCAGATGAACGCAAATTCCATTTATTTTGAATGCAGGAACAGAAAGCTCCATGTTTGATGAGAGCTGCCTTTTGCTTGATGCATATTTTAATTACCCGGTTAGTATGGATAGTTTCCTTTGGAGATTGTTTAATATGTTTGCAGTTTACCACAGAAACATAAAACTGATTGATTTAGCCACATAGGGGTACTTGATATGGTAACCCCTCCCCCACTCATTAAGCCCAAATCTGTCAAGAGTAACGACTGTAAATGCATGCACATTAACACATGAATTACAATTTTATACACAACCCCTCTGACCTTATTCCATTCATTCATGGAATGTAGGCTCAGTCCTAATTGCCCTTAAGGAGGCGATGGTGAGCTGCCTTCTTGAACCACTGCAATCCCTAGTTGGTAGGTACACCCACAGTGCTGTTGGGAATGCAATTCCAGAATTTTGACCCAGCAACAGTAAAGGAACAGCAATATATTTCCAAGTTGGGATAGTGTGTGCTGTTGACCATCTATGTTGCAGGAGTCATCAGTTTGGATCCCTATAATGCCTGCATGATAGAAGACTTGCAGATGGTTAATATGTTTGGATCGTGAAGAAATCCTGCAGCATCATTGGCTCATGGAAATAAAATATGACGAGACTCATTCTGTCATTTTGAGGAATCATTAACCATGTCCTATACCTCTGTGTTAGGGTCAATTTCTGAACCTCGGGAATAGGGGAATATGGAGTGTCTTCTCTTGAAGCCGAAGAGCCAGACATTCATAAAAACTGAAAGAACTGCAGACGCTGTAAATCAGGATCAAAAACAGAAGTTGCCGGAAATGCTCAGCAGGTCTTGTAGCATCTGTGAAGAAAAAATCAGATGACCCTTCCTCAGAACTGATGGTAGCTAGCAAAACGTCAGTTTATATGCAGAAAATAGGGAGGGCAATGGGGTAAGGAGCACCAGTGTCGACAGGGCCCTCAACCAGGGTCCAACCCATCTCCCACCTTCTTCCCTCGCCCCCTCTCTTCCCTCCTGCAACAGCGATAGTGTTCCCCTTGTTCTTACCTACCGTCCCACCAGCATTCACATCCAGAAGATCATCAGACACCATTTCTGCCACCTCCAGCAAGGCGTTACCACCAGACGCACATTCTCTTCCCCTCCCTTGTCCACCTTCCGCAGGGACTGTTCCCTCCTGGACACCCTGGTCCACT